AGACATTCACTCTAACCTTCATTTTGCAAAAGTACACATCCAAGGGAAAAACATGAAAGAAGTACATAATAATACTAGGACTGGTTGTGGGTGGTGGGATTGTATGTCATATTTATATTTTCTTAGGAGACTTTTATATTCCAAATTGTTCACTATAAGTCTGAGTTATTATAGGAAAGGGAGAGAAGGAGGGGGGGAAGGGAGGGAGGGAGGGAGAGATGCTTATGAAAAAAATAAAACCTTCTCAACTTGTTCTCTGTCTTGGGAACCATGGTTCTCTGCTATTCGGAAGTCCTGGGGCTTAGTTTGGCTGTGGGTTGGGCCATGTTAGTCTTAATCTTGTGTTATAGATCACAAAGTGATAAATTGTTTCAGTGGCAGCAGACTCCCTCACACCAAGGAACTCCACAGACCCAAGCCTTTGGGAAGTGGGAGAAGAGCTACTTTCTTGTATTACAAAGACATTATGAAGACGAACAGAAAAAGATGAAAATAAAGTGTTTGTAGATGGGGAGGGGAGGAGGGGGTGAAGGGAGGGCAGGGGTAAGGGGAAAAAATGAGAATCAAGACCTGTCATGTAGAGGTACAAGATCCCAACAATGAATGTAACTGTACTGTATCCTTAAAATGTACCAAGAAACTCAATTAAAGCTGAAAAAAAAAGACTAACAGAGGCAAAAAAAGGGGGGAGCAGGGAGCAACTGCTGTTTGGAACTGACTCAATAGAATAAGGTGGGGACCCCAGCTGCAAAAGTACACACCCAAGTGAGCTAACAGGGGCTAAGACCTGTAATGAAATTGTGGTAGCAACATGAGCCTTGTTTGCTGCATTTTACCCCAGTGGTTCACGGGCTAGTAGGATTGGTAACTGGATGGCTAATATCCTAGTTGCAATATTTTTCTTTTCTCATCCCCCCATTAACAAAAACTGTGCATCTTTATGGCGTACAAAATATTTTGATGTTCATCGTGAAATAGCAGCATCAAGCTAACTGACAAGTATTGCCTCATATGCTTATCATTTTGTATTTGTGGTGAGAACATTTTAAATCTTTCAGCAATTTCAAGTAGGAGATAACTTTGTTACTATTTGTAGCCATTATGCTGTGAAATATCTATTCTAGTTATTTCTCCTGCGTAGCTGAAATTCTGTATCCTTCGACCAAGTTAATCCACGCCTCTCAGCCCCTGTGGCTACCGTTATTTTACCTGGGAACTTTCCTCTTCTGAATTTTCATTAGCTCAGATTTCAGACTGTTTGAATGAGCCCCAAATAGTTGTGTGCTAGGATGAGCCACCAGAGAGCGCCAGATCACTTAGTCACCGGCGTGGGCTTCTGTAGCGCAGAATCACAAGGATTAAAGTCCGAGTGCTGGAATCTGGTCCAGGCTAGAGAAAAATAAAATCTAGTATACGATAATGGTCATGCTGGGCCAACATTTAGGCAAATCACTTTTCATGTTCTTCTCTGCCTTTAATCACTCTGCTTTTTTAGTTTGTGTGTTTAAGCACTTGGCTTTATTTATTTCTTTTAAGTGAGTTAGGATTGTTTGGAGGAAAGTACTTTAGAAATGTGAAACCTCTGGTTTTCTTTGAACCCTGCTGCCTTAGACACGTGCTAGAGGCAGATAGGTTGCCTCCTCCCTGGAAGGATTTTAAAGGAGTTTAGAAACAAGCAGGCCCCGTATAGTGTTTAGAACTCAGGGTGGGGTTTCTGCTTTCGGCTTGGCTTTCAAGTCTTGCACAGTGGTGGTGCTCAACTCCCAGTCCGCAGGCCAACCACAACAGGTGAAGGTGAACTGGGCTGCCTGCAGGTGCTTCTCTGTCCCCTGGCCATTTCCCACACCATCCGGGGAGTGGCAAGGCAGTGTGTGGGCCTGGGTGAGCGGGGACGGAGAGCCCACGCAGGCTGGAGGGGCCCTGCTCTCTGCACTGCAGAATGACAGCTGTACCAGGAGTAACCGCAGACCGGGCCTCCACTGCTCGTCCCAGTCCAGGGGCCTATGGGGTGCCCAACAGCACAGGGCACAGGGCCTGAGCTCCTGTCCCCACATTCCCTGCAGAGTGCAGTGCATGCTCACATGAGAGTGTAGATATGGGGGGGTCAGATGATCCAGTCTGTCCAATTGTGGGGGCCACAGTCATTACCACCTTGGTTGTAATATGTATGGTTTTTCTCTTTTACCTTACCCATAATCCTTGGAGGTAGGCTGGGTAGCTCCTGGCCGTTTTCCAGCTTGTCAATGAGGGGGTACAATGAGCGGAAGGTGCCTAAATTTCTTTATAAGTTTGAGGTTCTGAGGTTTAAAGGCAAAGCCTTTGCTAAATCAGGAAGGCCAGGTGCCAGGCTTTCTACATGTGGGGCAGAAGTTTGTAGACAATGTAGGCGTGGCCAGGGAGAGTGGGCAAAGGCCCATCGACATCTGTTCCTGGGTGGCAGAATGGGATCCAGGCTCTGCGGTCAGGCCATTCAGGGAGGTGGGGAGAGGCTGGGCTTTGTAGGATGAAAGGTTACTGGCACGGACAGTGAGCATCTCTGATGATTCATCAACAAAAGCAGGGACAGTGGTGATCATTTAAAAGATCCTCAGACCACGAAGGCCATGATGGGGACTTTGCAAACAGCCCTAGTCCAGGGGGGATCAGTCTGTAGGGTTGCTGTCCAGGAGGAAGGCCTCAGAGGGGATTTGTCATTGTTCTCAAGTTTGGTTTTGTGAGAGGGAATCCACTGTCCTGGCTTCCTATCACACTGGGATATAGTCCTGTCCTTTACAGCTCTTTTTAAATTATAGGTGTTTCATTTTTAAATTGCAAATCTTGGACTTGATTTAAGGTGAGTCCTTAATTTCCTCAGCATATGCTGAGGCATAACGGCATTGAAGAGCAGCTTTCCAGGGGCTAATAATGAGGGAGCCCCCATGCTGCAGTTATCTCGTACCTCCCCACAGCCCTGGTTTGGGCCAGCTGCCCCAGCCCCCAGGGCCTTTGCACGGCAGAGTGGCTACTGGACTCCAGGATGTCATCAGTGGATGGAAGGGAGACTCGGACAATTTCACCATCCAGACAATACTATATGCAGCTCTCTTTTACATACTGCTCTTTGGGTACCAAACACTCAGGAACTCTCACCATGTCCCATTGCTCCTTTAACTTCTGCCTTAACTCGTTTCTAGGGAATACCCAAGTGTGAGCCAATGAGTGTATTCTGGACCAAACGACTGAAGCTCCTTCTCCTTCAGTCTTTCATCCCACCTGAACCTCCCCAGCCCTCCTCTCCTGCAAGCTGAGAGGGCGCACCTCCCACTGGGGCAGAGACAGCGTTACAGGTAAAGAGGCTCCCTTGGGCCTCTACCTACTACAGGAAGAGCCCAAAGGAACGCAAGAATTCCAATTAGACTGGAATTAATGAGCCAGGAACTTTGGGGAAATCACTGTGGACATTGAGGGGAGGGTGTGATCATCTTTGTTTTAACTAGCCCTGAAAAAACTTGTGGCCCAGCCCACAGTTGAGGCAGGATGGGGTCCCGAGGAAGCAGGTTTCCAAGCAGCGCAACAGGGATTCCTCTGGCGGTGTGGGGATGGGGGCTGCAGAAACCGCCTGGCTCGGATCAGGGAAGACCACCAGGGGGGAAACGAAGGCCCCAGTCAAACCCGGAGCATCCCTACAGGACAGAGGGATTTGACACTAGACAGATGGGGAGCCAGGTCCGGCCTCCAGCTCTGCCGTCTATCCTAAGCAGCCTCTGAGGCTTAATAAGGAAAAGGGAGAGAAACCACCTGCTGCTGTCAGAGGCGAGGCCACAGACCACCCACCAGCCTCCCAGATGGCCCTGCCCTTCAGCCACACTCGTGGCACTTAGGAAGAAAGAAGAGGAGCGAGGGATCAGGAAGTGTGTGCATCTTGGAGTAGGGTCCTCCTCACCCCCCCAAACCCGAGGGTCTTGGGGCATTTAGCCAGTGGAATGGAGTTCACAGCTGGCCACTCCTCCCCTCCCCAGCGGGGGTTCCTTTGGGAAAGTCCGCCTAACCCCGGTGTCCTCTGGGTCCCCCACGGCTCTTGGCCAGGGCGCAGCACCTTAGAGGTGTCGCGTCCCGCGCCTGAACGTGGGCGCTGCACCCTGTTCGACTGAGGCTGGAAGCCACCTCCGAGGGGCCTTCCTGCCCCTGCCCTGCCCCAAGCCGAGGCCAGCAGGAGCGCTGAGGCCCCCCCA